GGGTCGGTTAAGCTCGGGTTCGGGTTGAATTGCCATCCCTACTAGTGGCGAAGGTAATTTTGCATGGAGGTACTATTGTACTTTGAAATACAGAGACCATCTTTGTTGGAACTGTCTTAGATTCATTAACTAGCTACAATTTCCTCAAGAGAGAGGGAGGGGGTGGGGGGGGGGGGGGGAGACATGCCCCTTTGCCCCCTCTCTATACCATTGAGAGAGAGTGAAGTTTAAAAAAGTGCGACTCGTGTTCTGAAAGAAAATTTATGAAGATGAGAGAGTTTTTTTAGAACATATTTTTTTTTCACAAAAACAATGTGACATTTTTAAAAACAAAGTAACAAACGGAAATTTAAAAAATGCAACAATTAATGTGGGACATAGAGTACTCCACACTTTTTTTCTCTCCCATTTTTTGTCCTTTCAAGAGGAGCAAAAAGAAGACTTGTAACGACGGTAATGAGAAGCGACCATTTGCAACATGGAGTACGTTCCACTACCAATTGTGACAGAATTCAAATGATTCATCTCTTTGAATCATGTTAGAAACATACCCCGGTCCCGGGATGATACTAAAATTAAAAATATTAAATTTTAGAAATACTCTAATAATTTTACACAAACCGAAACTATATCTACTCCCACCGTCTTAATGTTGATTACAATTTTTTCCCCTCACCAATGGATAACTTTTATTATATTATGTGTTTTCATTGATTATTTGATAAATAAGATATCTTTATCACCTCTTATTTTGTAGAATGTTTGACTTATGTTTTAATATATAACTTTTATTTTTTTATTGATGCACCAATTTGTCTGATAAATTTCAATTTGTAATCAAAATTTGATGTCATACAAATTAAAGAAAATATCAAGAAAAGATCAAAATTCTTTTGATTTTCTTTTAGAAAAATAAGAAACTTATTTTGAAACAATTCAAAAAAGAGTGTAGAAAGTTATTTTTGGATGTCTTTCTAAAGGACAAACTCATTTTTGAGAGAGGTAAATTGAGCTTTCCAACACTTGAACGGAGTCTCCATCTCACCATCTGATACTTACATAAACTATATGTTAATCATATTTATCTTCTAGCGTAGGTTCTAGACATTAAACTCATATTTTACCCCCTTGCACCCTTTATTCTGCTAATTATGCAACGACAGCAGTCTTTTTATTTTTTTACTCCCTCGGTTCTAATTTTTATTATAATTTTTTCTTTCATCTCAATAATTTTTGTTAGTTGTTTGTTTTTATTGATTATTTAATAAAATAAAATATTCTTATTATCTTTTATTTTGTAGAACTTTTGACGTAATTTTTTAATATGTCATTTTTTATTTATATACTAATTTATAAATAAAAGAGTTTCTAAAAATGGGACATTTTATCTCGTAAATCTCAATTCGTAGAATAAGTAATTGTTTGAATTAGAAAGTAGGGGAGAGGGGGTAAAAGTGGTGGAGGCAAGAATTAAGGCGAAAATTGCGGCACAATTAGAAATCATAATTAAAGGCACTACTGCATGAGTGTAGGGTGAGGCTACGCATCTTTTCTACCCTGTCCTTTTCACCCCCCCCCCCCTCCTTTTTTTTTACCTTCAAGAAACTCTTCATTTAAAAAAAATAAAAATAAATTTCAATGGTCCACTACTTCAAGATTCATCCCAAGTTTATCCATATCTTCTCTCACATACACATGATACCACTATTTTTTTTTAATCACATGACGATACTGTAACACTTTGGTAGTATTTTTAAATAAGTTTTACTTTTACCCGGTATTATAATTCACGTATGAATGTATTCAATAATTTTGACTTTTTTCGCTATTTTTTTTAGCAAACTCCAATCATTGCTTATGGTTAAAAAATGCTTACATTTTTTTTGAAAGAAAAAAAAAAGCTTTACATAATACTTCATTCTTCTTATAAAATTCTCTAAATGCATGGGAGGCGTTAATTAAACACTGTCCCTTCCCCCATTATCGCACCGTGATGTTCGCCCCGTCAAACTTTTTCCGTGCGTTGGAGACCTAAATCAAGCCGTTACAACCTCAGGGTCAAACTTTAGTCACTTTCTTTTTTTATTTTTGTTAGTCATATGATAAAATAATATAGTCATATCATCACTAGTTTTGTTGATCTTTTGATGTAGTTTTTAAATGTATATTTTTATTTTTCATTTTACATCATTTTTCATATAAAATAATTTTAAAATAATTCTACTAAAAAATACTCCGTACTTTATTTGTTTTGTTAGTTTCTTGACTCCGTCATCTAAAAAATGGATCTCATGTTTGGCACCTACCCTTTTTCTGTTAACATGTACGGAGTATTGGCTGTATTGACAATGGACAAGTCGACAAGGTAAGATAACAACTTTTAAAATATTCTCTTTTGACTTTAAAAAATTTAAGAATGGTGTATTTTAATATTGATATTTCAAAAACACTCTTATATATACGGAGTATTTGATAAATTAAAATGTGATCGGTAGATTAATAGTAAAAAAGTGTGATGTGATATATAAGTTAAAGATTAAAAAGGGTACAAATGACTTTTTGATAAAAATAAGAATGAATTTTTAAGATGAATGAAAAAAGAAGGAGAAAAATTTTGTAAGATGGAAAAGGTAAATAAATAAATAAATAAAAGGATACCACAATTCAAACCCTTTTGCTTTGAAAGCAAGACAGTGATGTGGTGTTTGGTTTATTCAATTCGGAGTGCCTTTTTTCCATCATTTCGAGCCTATTTTTTTTTAAAAATAATACGGAGTACTTCGAATCACGTTTATTTAAATCTTGCTGTATGATTTTTTTTCTCCATCTAGAAATAAGTTAAAACTGTTTGAAAAGACCAACCAAAACAAATTAACCTAACAAAAAAACAGTTCAACTTATCATTAACGTTAGTACATTTAATTAAGACATGCTTGATGTAATCTATTATTCGCAATTTATTCAGGCTCCCCGCTCCAGTTAAAATTAAGATAAAAAAAATACTCCCTCTGTCCACCATAGATCTTCCCAATAGTCCTTTTTCTTTGTCCACAATAGATCTTCTCATTTCATTTTTTAACAAGTAAAATACCACAACTACCCCCACTTACTTTATTTATTACACCTCACCCACCTCATTTAATACACTCCACCCATTTTTCATTAAGGGTATTATGGTAAACTTTCACCTTTTTTCAACTCTCCTTAAAAACTACCAAAAGTCAAAATGAGAACATCTTAGACGGACGGAGGGAGTATGTATTACTCACTCCGTCCAACAATACAGTTCTTGTTTACTATTTACAAGATCAAACTTTATTAACTATTTTCGTGTTCTGTTTGATGAGTAAAATAATATAGTAATGTCACATTTAGATTTGTAGATCTCTTCATGAAGTTTTTAAATATGTAATTTTTATTTTTAAATTCACACCATTTTTCATATAAAATGATATGAAAATAATTGTCTAATCTAATTAAAAAAAGCTTAAACATTCAAAATTCATAGAAAGTTGAAACCAATATAAACCCGACTAAAACCGAAATAAATGTAATTTTTGAAAATGTAAACTTTATTTTTTAATATCGTTTCAACTCTCAAATAAATTATATTAAAAATAACTTTAGTCAAACATCGTATATCGAAATAGACAATTTAAATAGGGAGAAAAAGAGTATTTTAGAAATGAAGCCTAAAATCCGAAGCAACAAACAACCCCTGATTTCCTCCTAATATAAATACCAATAATCTACCCAACTCACAAGTCAAAATTTCTCTTTAGTTTCAAGGGAGAGAATTGGCAATTCCTATCCATAGAGTAAGAGAGATGTCATCAAAAACACTTCTCATTTTCCATTTCCTTGCTTTCTCATTGCCCTTCACTTCTTCTTCTTCTTCCGCCGGAGCCGATAACGCAGACTTCATCAGAAAATCCTGCAACACGACGGAGTACCCGCGCCTCTGCTTCACGTCTCTGTCCAGCCGCGCCGAGTCCATCGGAGCCGACCCCGAGCTCCTAGCCCACGCCGCCCTCAGCGTGGCCCTCAAAACCGCCAGGTCAACGGCGGCGGCCTTGACCAGGATGGCCCGGCGCCACGGCCTGACGCGCCGGGAGACGGGCGCCATGCGCGACTGCGTCGAGCAGCTCGGAGACTCGGTGGACCAGCTCGGCGAGTCTCTCGACGAGATGCGGCAACTCGGCGGCCGCCGCCGTGGGGATTTCGACCTCGTGATGAACGACATTGAGACTTGGGTTAGCGCCGCCCTGACGGACGAGGACACGTGCACGGAAGGTTTCGCCGGAGAGCGGTCGAGGGGCGGCGTTAAGGCCGCCGTGAGGGGTAGGATCGTCAATGTTGCTCATCTCACTAGCAACGCTTTGGCTCTCATCAACCACGTCGCACAGCGTCATCGTTAAGTATATATACATATATATACTCCCCATTTATATAAATTGAGCAATTCTAGAGTCACAAACACTTTGATCACAAAACACACAAACTTACTACTACCTCCGTCCCATTGTCTTTGTCCAGTTTTGACTTTTGGAACTGTTCATCTAAGCACTTTGACTCATCAAATTCTCTCAATGTGTAAGCCTAAAAATAGTCATGTGTGATCTTGTTTGATTCGTCTTAACATATATATTATTAATATATAATTTTTATAATTTTTTAATATACAAATTACAAGATAAAATGGATTAAAGAAGTGCATTGGATGGTGTGCCAAAATGTAAGTGGACAAACACAGTGAGACGGAGGGAGTATTTGTGTATTTAAATATTTACTTTTAAATTATTTAGAATCATTTTATTCAATTAGTGAAATGCACAAATAGCAGGGTTGTGTATTTTGTGAGCAAGTGTTTGTGACTCTAGCATTTCTCATATAAATTATATTGCGAGTAGAAAATTACTCATTTTTTAATTGGGAAGTACTCCGTCTTAATCATAAAATGGGTATTATTAATACCGAGTAATATAATCTTAGGATTACTTTATTTGCTTATTAATACTCTGTATTAGTAGAAATTAAAAAAAAACTATCCTTAGAGAATGTTTACGGTCTATAAATTTACAGATGATTGTCATCCGTAATGACAAATACATGTATACCGTACACGTGGTTGTATGTAAAATTTGGTACACCCAACAAATATTTATTTTGAATCCAACAAAATGTTCACTTTGAATATACAAAATATTCATTTTCAACAATACTGTCCATTCTGAAGTCATAATATTTATTCAAAAATGATGTTGCATTCGCTTTGAAACATATTTATTCTAAAATAACGTAATGTCCAATCTAAAACTTTTTTAAATAAGTTTGTCATGATACATTTGATTATACCATATAATTTGCCCAAACATAATACGTGGATTTCTAGCATGACTATATTGAAATATTCTGTAATTAAATAATTTAAATTCAGACCACAACTATTCTCAAATGTGGTTTGCTTTCACCTGCCATCAACAATATCTAAAGCATTTAAAATAAAGATGAAAATACAAAAAAGTATTCGGTCACTTTTGTTTTTTTTAACTTTTTTGATCGTCTCAAAATTACACGAGTAACTTTTAACGAAAGAGGTTTCTCTAACTTCTCTATAAATCTCAATCTCATAACTTTTGTAATTGGTGATTGGGGTCTAAACGACACGAGTAGAGACTAAAGAGGCAACACAATATTGTTAATGTCCAATTGCTACACTCAAGACTTCACAAATACAAATACCTCAAATATATGTGCAGTTTTGAATTCCGTGCATTTTCTATTTTGGGCTGGTTTGGGAATCACGTTTTTATTAGCGTTAGCGTTTTAGATAAAATGTTAACGGTGCAGATTAACTTTGAAAATGCTAAACGCTACCCGTTTATAGTCTTTTCAAAACGTTAACACTAACCTCAAACGCCATTCCCAAACAGGCCTTTTGTCTTTCCGGGCTATGGCATTGGCAAAGAATTTCCTGATCCACTTGGTAGGCTAGGCAATGTTCCACCAAGCCAACCAAAATGCCTTGTTCCTACATATCATGGTGTGTGTACAGAATTAGGTACATATCAAAACATTCATAAGTAGAATTTGGCAGCGAATGGAGTGCTTGATTTCCCGATTCTCGGTCATACGGTCATAGAATGTATAAATGGTTCGTGCCTCACAGATTATCAATGCTCCCACGGCTTTCAGAAAGGCGACTGCAAGCGTCTTACATGTTTGTGACCAGCCATAATTCAAACTTTGCTGCCATACACCTTTTTTCTGGTTTACACAAACACGCACAAACATGAGACGAATCTCAGATTCAATCACGAAGATTGATAAAATCGTCTTACTACGAGAATCGTGAAAAGTTTAAATATGCAAGACTAGTATCTATTCAATGATATTTACACAATCTGCTTGAAACTGAATTTACAATCAGAAAAAGCCCACTAGACAAATGAAAGTTAACTCAAAAATGTTAAGAACTTCCTTAAATAGTTGGTTTCAAGTTACACTTAGAAGCTTTCTTTTCTTTACCGTATTTGATACGTGCCCTTTTTTTCTTCGTTTTTTTGTCCCAAAAATTTTCCTCCATCTTTCATACCCTTTCCTGTTTTTCTTTTCATCATTCATATTGTTTCTCTTTCCTAAATACTCCGTAAATCTCAACCACACGATTATCACTCTTTTAAAAAACACGCAAAGCCAAAAGAAGATACTATAAAATGGGGAGGGCAAGAATAGGTGGTTACCTCCAAAGGTGAGGTATAATTGTGTAGAGAGCATCGCAATTTCAGCTTCCCAGTTTAAAGAGTAAAAGCCTATACATGGGGTCACCGCGTTCCAGAACATGCTTTTCCCAATCTGATGCAACTCCAAATGGATTTTCCTTCAGCCATTTCCCTGAATGCTCCACAACTGCGAGCTTTCCTTTGCCATGCCCCATGAATTCATCTTTCATTCTCACAGCCACAGCTTCAATATCAGACTGGAGAAATACCTGCATGTCAATCAAGGCCATAATAGGAAATTGGAACTCAAAAATGGTAGGGAAGTGAGAGAGAAAAAAAAGCTAAGGCAAATGATTATTTTAACATTTTGTTTTACCTTAGAAAGTTAAACTGAAAATCAAACATGCATTTCCATCAGTTGAAGTTATCATCATATAGAGTAATAAATATAATAGCTTCAATTATTAACGGAAAACAGATATGAGAATAGATCACGTAAATGGTTTAGTACCTTCCCACCAAACACTAGCATATCAGCTACTGCTTCAACTAATGACCGCTGCAACATTCTCCATCTGTATTGTGGTCTGTTGAAATCGGGATTCGGACACTGATCACACAACAAAAATTTTGCTCCGTGAGAAACCATAACGACTACTATAGGTGATTTACACGAGATAAATCCATGAGAAGGTAAATTTTGAAGGTATAATATTCCATATTGGAGGACATTGAGTAGTAACGTCACATCCTAAGTTTCAAATCAATAATATTCCTGCTCTTCATAACTCCCTCCGTTTGACAAAATAATTCTCCTTTCACTTTTTTCCCTATGCAGAAAACACTTCCACTTTCTATCAAAAAGTCACTTTTACCCCTACTAATTATTACACTACGTCACTACCTATCACCTCATCTTCATCCACTATTTATCTACCCATACATACTACTTTTACCCATCACATCCAAGGAAAAAATTGGAAAGTCACACTCCCCTTAAATTTTCCAAAAGTCATAATGGGAACTCTTTTTTGAAACAGAGAGAGTACAAAAAAATAAAATTGTACCACAAAGATTGGTATTCATTTTAACTTAAACAAAAGTTTATCTGCAGTACTTTTTTCAGTTTTCTTATATTTAAATTTATAATTTTTGTTCGAAAAGAATTGAGCATTTGTGTCTCATCAACGTCATTGTATATGAATTAAAAGAACTGTGTCTATAGCTGGAACGACAAAAGAGCAGTATATAAAACAACACTTGCAAGTACAACTAGTTTTTGCAGGATCTTACCTGTATTGATACAAGAACCAGCTCCCCTGGGTAACTGGATATGATAGACCGAAAAGTTGATGTTGCATTTGCTGCAATGAAGTGCCTATAGGCAAGGTAAACTATTAATTAAGCATTAATGCAGAAACTTCTTCATATCTAAATCAATAATTGCATGGCTAATTTTTAATAGATAAAAAACCAAAGTAGATAATCATTTCCTATACTCCCCCAATCCAGAGCCACTTTCATGCTGAACCATAAGAATAATGGTGGCAGAACTTAGGTACTTTCACTCTTCTGCATTTGTGCACTTAGTGGTATAAATTGGAAAGGTACCCTTTCAATTTTATTTAGCTACAGTATGTTTGATTTTCACAAGAGATGCACTGGATATTATCATCATGTAAGAGGCTTCCTTTCTGTTGTACTCCCTATTTTATTAAAACAATAACTTATAAGTCCACTATTCGCTACTAGCTTACACTTCTAGATTTTGATTCTTAGTTGCACAAAAAATGAACCTGTTTGATTCGAAACACCAAGTCCAAGTCGTCTAATTTAGAAATTACAAGACCTCCAACAGCTCGTGCAGTCGCACCCTATTTAATTCGATATAGTTCTTTATATCATTCGCATCAAAGATAACCAGATTAATGCATGATAGTAGTAATTAGAATATGCTAAACAGCCAAACTATCTTTTCCATCATCTCCGATGGAGTCAAAATTTCACCAGTTTTGGCTTTGGGGTGTGATGGAATAAATCAAAATGGATCTCTAAACTATTTGCGCTTCTTTAATTAATGAAGTTGCAGTTAGTCAAACACTGCAACTTTCGATGTTGAGCCGGGAGTCTCTTTGGAAACAGCCTCTCTACTTTCGAGTAGGGGCAAGGTCTGCGTACACACACTCTCCCCAGACCCTACTCTTGTGGGATTTAACTGGGTTGTTGTTGTTGTTGTTGTTGCTAAACAGCCAAACTATAATGTCCATTTAGTACCTTCAAAAAAATATAATGTCCATTTAGTCATATATCAAATCAAGCAGTGCTAAAGGGACGAAGCTACGTACACATTGTGGATACCAAGTTGAAAAGTGACATCTAAACAACGATCCACCAGCTGAGACGAGAGTTAAATCCCAACAATAAGTTAAGAAAGTCATATTAAACTACATACACTTTGTGGAGCATCAATTTTTTAATGAAATAAAATGACCTTTCTGTTTATTTCGAGCCCAAGAAAGTTCATATCTTTTCTCCTCTTTGCCATCTCAAACAAAAACATGCCATTTCCTGTCAATTCCAACCACACAACACACCTTTTGGCAGTCACGGTTAACAAGGAACTAATCTTTTGACAAATTGATTCAATATGTTTCCTAATCACCAATAATATTCAAAAATAAGAATTTATCGATATAACATGTGTGAGAGCTATGCACATGCATTTCCCATCTAATGAAAAAAAATTACATGAAAGCAGATGCAATAGGAAAAAGTTTTGGTACTATGCAAAAAGTTATGTATGTAACTTTAAATTAAGCCACCACAAGTAACAAAATGATAATTACCACTTCCAACATCGACAGCCAGAGGTCTCATTGGATCATCATAGGATGTACTCCAGTTTATCAGAAATGGATATTCCTACAGAGTTCAAAGAAACAAAATGAGTTTTTAGATTATGGATGATAAAGCAATATTGTAAATTTTTAACAACCTGGTCTAAATATTGAAAGATGAGGTGTGTGTGTGATACAGCACAAGGGAGAGCCACACCCTAAAAGCTAGCTGATAAGGTGGGAGAACCCTTGGCTATATAAACCCATCACCAAGTCCCCCATATAACCGATGTGGGACAATGAAATCAGTCCGTATCATTCGACCCCCCATAAGGCCCAACGTCCTCGTTGGTCACCGCTACGTTGGTCACGGCCACGTTGGTCACGGCTGGTTTCACCAGGCCACCACTCCGTAGGCCACCACTCCGAGTTGGCTCTGATACCATTGATACAGCACAAGGGAGAGCCACACCCTAAAAGCTAGCTGATAAGGTGAGAGAACCCTTGGCTATATAAACCCATCACCAAGTCCCCCATATAACCGGTGTGGGACAATGAAATCAGTCCGTATCAGTGTGTGTGTAAAATATACTCTGGGGTACTATGTATATGGAAAACCTATACACGGAACATGATTTCGTGATAAAAATGTCTACCAAAAGACCACAGATTTGCTGAACTACTCAAAGATGGTGGTACAGAAACATACTCTATCTAATGCCATGAGCCCTGGAAGTTTTCCTCCTTTAAGAACCTCCCAAACAACTGTGGCACTTTTCAGAAAATTATCATCTGAAAAGGACTTTGATTTCTCCCGTAATTCATCAAAATCCATGTTCCCAACAAAAGTTACATCACAAGTATTTGAAGTACCAAGTGCTTCAGCCAATTTAAATGTCCCGCCTTTGTCCAGTAGGTTGGTGCTGAATCTCACTGGACCGATCCACATGATCTTCTAATGAACATGAAAGGATTTTGCCGGGCAAACAAGGTAATAACATTTAAGATGCTCAAAAAAGAAAAAAAATTGCTATACTCAGCAATCATTACATGCAGACCGTGCCCGTTTAGGATGGAAACACTCCACTATCAGAAGCACTTTTCACATTGGTCATGTGACCTCTTAGTCAAGAAGGCTCTAATACCATGTTAAAATTCCGGTGGGCCAAAAACAACGAGCAGAGTGTCGGGTAAAATTAACCACTTGCATATAAAGTCGGGATCCACTTTCTAACCCAAAAGCTTAAGCCAATGGGTAGGGTTTTACCCTTCTATATATGCTAGCGGTATTTCTCTTTGTTTTCCTTGGACAAACGGGTCTAACACCTCAATCTCTTATAGCTAGCCACACAATGGGCGGTGACATCTCAATCTCTTATAGCCAACTCAACCCAAATCACAGACGGGTAGCTCATATCACTAAACCCACGTCCAAACATTCAGGAAGAATCGAACCCGGACCGGACCTACTTTTATACCATGTCAAGGAACAGATTCAACCAAAAAATCAAGCTTCGGGTTGTGGCCCAGGAAAGTTTTTATATTCTAACAAATATGATGCATCACAGGCATGTCATCCTCTCCAATCCCTTGGAATGGCTAGTAAGCTTCTTTCCATATAATGTGTTATACCTATGACAGGCTTTAGTAAAGTGACTAGAACAGTGTGGATTACAAAATGTATTGAAGGATACCAATATTTATGTGGCCGGTTAACACATTTTTAGAGATTGATAAGCACCTTGCATTTTGAAAGCAAAGAAATCATTTTTTCCAATGATCCTGGTCCAATATCAACAGGTTGCCAACCTGGAATCATAAGTTTGATTATGAAAATGTAATTTAGTAAGTTTTTTGTTAGGTTTCTCAGATTCCCGTCATAATATGTGCATCATTAATGTTTATGTGAAAAATAAAAGCTCATGAAACGTGAGATATTGACTTGTTTATTTGGTGCAAAATGAATATTGATAATCATAGTCTTCATGGAGCTACCTTCAGGGATAGAATGAACAGAAACCATCTCCATTTCATGTGGAAAATTTTCTTTAATGCACCAAACATCTTGAGGAAGACCAAGTGGAATGTTTCTTAATATTGCAGACTTCACTATCCTGACCGCTTCGTTTAATGCTCCATGTTCTACGAGTTTCAAGGGAACAGGTATTCCTAGTGCATGCATTATTTGAAAGGCCATACTTCCAACAAAGACTAACCCATCACATATAGATGCTAATAAGTGCACAGCATCAGCTTTTTCTGCAAGACTGCTTCCACCGATCTGCACAAGGAAAATGTTGAACCCATATGAATAACATAAAAGTGTAACTATCCACCTATTCTGAATTCCATATAGAGAATAAAACATTACAATAGCCACATAGGGCCTTTCAAACGGCTTGATGATCTTCTTCAGCTTACATAGGCCCTCGTCAAAGTAAAATCCAGCAATGTGGGCACAGCAAAAGCTAGCCACACCAACTGTTGAAGCAAGAACTTTATGAGATTCAGAGAAGGCATCATTAATAACTATATCAACCCCAGATGTGAGTTCTTTGGAAAGCTTTGAGCTGTTTGCTCTTTCCCCCTTGCAGTGGAAAAGATTCTCAAGCAGGCAAATGTGAGGTGTTGTACTATCTCCCATATCTAAAAGCATGTATCCACAAACAAGTTTCACAGTAACTACTTCAACTTCAAGCATAGATGATAGGAATTCTGCAAGACAAACCGATCATGTAACAGTTGATTTTCCCTCGTGACCCTTGAATCAGTTGAGTAAAAGGACGCACCTGCAACAGATTCGGAAGAGAGGTGTGCTTTTGAATGAAGCATGGGATTTATAATCTCATTCCAGCTACCGACCAGAATCACTTTTGCTCCAGACTCATATAAGTACTTAATGGTGGAAAAAGAACTTGCTGGCAATGGCTGATTTTTCCTCATTCCATCGAGTATGACCATTTTATCGAACCTGACCATGACAACTTTTCTGAATAGCTCCTCCCTTGGAAAGTTCCCAAGAGATCGTATGTGTGGAAATGCTGGTAACTGTCCGCCATCAGGAACAGCATCCTAGAGAAAAACACATAACCACATTAAGCATGACAAAATTAAACAATTGGTAGTTCCATATTTCCAATTTTATAAGGGCATGTCGTGTGACTATGTGCTTTCTGTTCCATGTCCAAACCAGAATGTCAATAAAATACCAAAAGATAACTTGATGCACAATGTTGTGACGATTAATGCTTAAAATTGTTTGAATTTAAGCAAGTTGGCAGACCACAATCTATCCATTTAATTCAATAAAACACCAGATTCAGATCAAATTCAAACTGTTATTCCAAGCAGTGAAGGGGATTTAAACATTAAAACAAAATCAATGGAATGTATTTACCTCTTCCACAAGTGACTGCTCATCAACCGTCTTTCTATCTGGGGAAAAATGAATCCAAATTGAGAGACGAGAACATCGAATCAAGCAAATGCGGCCAACAAAACAATAATCATTATCATTATTAGTATAACCATTACATCATTATTTTAACCTGGAAATGGAGACCGATGGTGGGCGGAGCAGTTGTTTTTGTTGAATGCAGATCGATTTCTTCTGGGATGAGAACGCGATAGAGGCGACGGTATAATGGGTACACTGAGAGCAATGTTTATGTTAAACGGTTTGTTGAAGAAAGTATGAACTTGATGAGGAACATCAACCACAACTCGATTCATGTTGCTCAGTATTCAATGGCAATCCCTATTTAATTCCGTCTTCTTCTTCTTCTTCTTTAGGTCAGTGAGGAAAGGAGCCCATGAACCATGAAACATTCATGGAACTTCAAAAAATCTCAAATGATAAGGTGGGGTTTAGCAGTATGTGGCATTCTTTATTTGTTTTTTTTTTTGGGAGGAAGAAATTAAGAATACAAATATACAATTCAATGAATTCATGAAAGTAAACTACTCCGGACTATAATAAAAGGATTAAAGTTATTTGTACACCAAAATCTGAACCGTCGTATTTCTTTGGAGTTCCTAGCATGGTTGATATTTACTTGATAATAAAATCCTCCCTCCCTCCCAAATACCCGAGTAAAATTTTGCTCATTGTGTTTACCATCAATTTATTTTAAATTTAATTTATTTATAAATTAGCGTGACATTAAAAAAATAAATTTTATTCAATTAAAGTAACATAAACAAAATCTATCAAAGCAATATTACTATATTATTTCATCAAACAGATAATAAAAAATATACAAAAAATGATAAAACCTAACCTTTTGAATAGTGAAAATACAATCAGAATTGAAAGAGAGGAGCACAACAAAAAGTGTGTTCGGCCTATTGCTAAATCTACCCA